ATACATTATACAATATGATAAATAATTACAATTACTAAACACTGAACTGCTCAATAGAAAATATAGATAAATGAGATTCGGATAATCGTATTCTAATGTCCTGCTTTGACTTCTTGCTTGAACTTTAAAGAATCATGAAAAAAAGATTGTTCGAAGGCATACATGTTCGATGTAGATGATTCATTCGTTTCGCTATTTAGTGTTCATTTAGGGTAATGTTAGGGTCTATTTAGGGTTTCATGCGCAGACTGACACGGTCACGCGATTTTTCTGGAGGTGTCTCGATCTCGACAGAGAACGATTTGGACTTTTCCGTGGCACGTGCAGCGACAGCAAAGCACCTAGAAAGTGCAATTCCCAGACCACGTGGCCGGCAAACTACGAAATTTCTATTCCGAGTTCAAACGCGACGCGCATGGAATCGACACCGATCTTTTGCGAGCGATCGATGAATGGACAGGAATACAAATTTTTCACCTGACGACGTAGATTTTTAAAAATCGATGACGATACTGTCTTCGAGGAACATCGATTCGATACGATCTGATAGTCTAAAATGAACTTCAACCCCTTGAGACATTATATCATCACTGTGCACACTATCCTAAAATATTGTTGCATATATATGTGTATTATTTTATAACAGTCGTAGGATTTATTTAAACTTCGTACGATTTGTACTGTAACATTTACTCGAGTAAAGGAGTTTATCTAAAAATTTCTCACAGAAAACATTTTTATAATATCAAACATTTCATAATAATTTTTATAATACGATTATAAAAGCAACAATCCAGTGTTGATATCGTCAACAAAAATTGTCGCCAACAGATCCACTTACAATTTGTACGAAGATTCTATCTCAAGCTTACACAAATGTTTAATCGATAAATGAACGGTCAGAAGTCAATCAATGCAAGTCAACTTGCCTTTTAAAATTAGTTACACGATGCAAACACATTTTTATCATAGGATCTTCCAGTGGGCAAATCAATATAGCCCGATCTCTTCGTAAATAAACAACAGATAGCAGCACTAATATTGACCACGGAATGACTAAACGAAATAAAAAGAAAAAGATAAAAATGAGAAGAATTAATAAAATAATAAAATATTAATATTATTCGTTTTTATTTAGTTACAATAAAAATTATGCTCTGCATTATTACTGGCATTGTCATCATTTTCTAATTAATTTGCCAAATCCTTATTTATCTCGATCTTAAGCTTAATGGACTGATTGGCTTCTGAGCCGTTCAAATAAATGGGATTATTATACTTTGTATAAAATACTTGGTATAAAATATTTTGGTCACATATATATATATATGGAATTTCATTTGTGAAACTCGCAAGAGAATTCGAGTGTCCAAAGCGAAGAAGCAGCATAATGGAGATCTGTCTCTTAGAGAGGACAAAAAAAGGAACCGCTGTCCGAGAGTGGCATTGGAAAAAGTCCAGAATCTCGCACAGCTCGCGGACCGAATGTTAAACAGCGTCGTAACAAATTGCTTTTTTAAACAATCGGCAATCGGACCAGCGAGTCGACGAACGTTATCACCACGAAATCAATTACCCCGAGGCTCGTGCGTTCTATTTTCCAGCGAATCGCGGACGATAAGGCGGTGTCGGAGAGACACGTAGTCTGCGAGTCTCAATGATAACCCTGTTTACAGCCTCGCCGAGACGAGAAAACACGGAGGAATCGCTCGCTGGACGATCACCTCCGATATTTGCTAAGCTTCTGCTCGGAAAAAAAGAATAATACTGCTTCGAGAATTCAATTTTCATAACTAGACTGACGATTTTTATGCAAAACAAAANTAATGATATATCATATTATAATAATATAATATGATAATAATATATAATAATATATAATAATAATAATAATAATAATAATAATAATAATAATAATAATAATATATTATAATTATATATGATATAATAATATTATACATGTATACATTATACAATATGATAAATAATTACAATTACTAAACACTGAACTGCTCAATAGAAAATATAGATAAATGAGATTCGGATAATCGTATTCTAATGTCCTGCTTTGACTTCTTGCTTGAACTTTAAAGAATCATGAAAAAAAGATTGTTCGAAGGCATACATGTTCGATGTAGATGATTCATTCGTTTCGCTATTTAGTGTTCATTTAGGGTAATGTTAGGGTCTATTTAGGGTTTCATGCGCAGACTGACACGGTCACGCGATTTTTCTGGAGGTGTCTCGATCTCGACAGAGAACGATTTGGACTTTTCCGTGGCACGTGCAGCGACAGCAAAGCACCTAGAAAGTGCAATTCCCAGACCACGTGGCCGGCAAACTACGAAATTTCTATTCCGAGTTCAAACGCGACGCGCATGGAATCGACACCGATCTTTTGCGAGCGATCGATGAATGGACAGGAATACAAATTTTTCACCTGACGACGTAGATTTTTAAAAATCGATGACGATACTGTCTTCGAGGAACATCGATTCGATACGATCTGATAGTCTAAAATGAACTTCAACCCCTTGAGACATTATATCATCACTGTGCACACTATCCTAAAATATTGTTGCATATATATGTGTATTATTTTATAACAGTCGTAGGATTTATTTAAACTTCGTACGATTTGTACTGTAACATTTACTCGAGTAAAGGAGTTTATCTAAAAATTTCTCACAGAAAACATTTTTATAATATCAAACATTTCATAATAATTTTTATAATACGATTATAAAAGCAACAATCCAGTGTTGATATCGTCAACAAAAATTGTCGCCAACAGATCCACTTACAATTTGTACGAAGATTCTATCTCAAGCTTACACAAATGTTTAATCGATAAATGAACGGTCAGAAGTCAATCAATGCAAGTCAACTTGCCTTTTAAAATTAGTTACACGATGCAAACACATTTTTATCATAGGATCTTCCAGTGGGCAAATCAATATAGCCCGATCTCTTCGTAAATAAACAACAGATAGCAGCACTAATATTGACCACGGAATGACTAAACGAAATAAAAAGAAAAAGATAAAAATGAGAAGAATTAATAAAATAATAAAATATTAATATTATTCGTTTTTATTTAGTTACAATAAAAATTATGCTCTGCATTATTACTGGCATTGTCATCATTTTCTAATTAATTTGCCAAATCCTTATTTATCTCGATCTTAAGCTTAATGGACTGATTGGCTTCTGAGCCGTTCAAATAAATGGGATTATTATACTTTGTATAAAATACTTGGTATAAAATATTTTGGTCACATATATATATATATGGAATTTCATTTGTGAAACTCGCAAGAGAATTCGAGTGTCCAAAGCGAAGAAGCAGCATAATGGAGATCTGTCTCTTAGAGAGGACAAAAAAAGGAACCGCTGTCCGAGAGTGGCATTGGAAAAAGTCCAGAATCTCGCACAGCTCGCGGACCGAATGTTAAACAGCGTCGTAACAAATTGCTTTTTTAAACAATCGGCAATCGGACCAGCGAGTCGACGAACGTTATCACCACGAAATCAATTACCCCGAGGCTCGTGCGTTCTATTTTCCAGCGAATCGCGGACGATAAGGCGGTGTCGGAGAGACACGTAGTCTGCGAGTCTCAATGATAACCCTGTTTACAGCCTCGCCGAGACGAGAAAACACGGAGGAATCGCTCGCTGGACGATCACCTCCGATATTTGCTAAGCTTCTGCTCGGAAAAAAAGAATAATACTGCTTCGAGAATTCAATTTTCATAACTAGACTGACGATTTTTATGCAAAACAAAAATTGTCTGCACTTACTGCAAGATACAAAAGGTACGTAGACATTTATTGCTCTCCTTAATCATTTCAACGAGTTGGAATTAATGCAATAGCAATTCTACCGTTTTGCGTTCAATCTGCTTATTTTTGTTATAAATGCATAACATTAATAACCATAAAAGCGATTAATCGCGTTCTACGAACACTGAACCACTTTTTAAAAAATTACTTTCCATGTATAGATAATTTTTTCTCATCGTCAGATGAGTCAGATTTTGTTCATACGTAAAATAGGAATTTTTCGTCGAAATGGTCGTGACGAAAAGTATTTATTTAAAAAAGGAACTTATCATGTGGTTTGGATACTTATTCACTTTTTAAAGAATTACTCTCTGTGTGCAGACAATTTTCTTTTGTCGTTGGCGCGCATCTTTCGTTCACTTGCAAATCAGGAGTTCTTTCTAACAAAAATCATTGCCATACAAATGTTTATTTCAAAGAAAGGTTTCGAAGATTTTCAGAGAAGAGATTGACGCCTAAATCGCAGAGCGAAGTATAAACCGTGAATCCAGTGAACGTCTATGCATCATGCTCAAGACCGACAAGCTCGAATTGCTCCAAAAAAAAACAACGTCAAAATCAATTATCGGTGTAACTATCACCGGGTCCACAGGTGTGACTACAACGCGAGAAGATCGTTAACGAAAAACCGCGGAGATCGTGTTTCCCTGGATCGCGCGTGCCTGCGATCCACGTGACCGGCCGAGATAATGTTTCCCCGAAGAATGATCGTTTGACTGCTGTAGGACCGATGATCCGTGCTCCAGGATCCATCGATCGATCGTCTCCGGTGTCCCGATTATGCAAATCCTCGTACGGTTGTCGCGGTTCGACGGTTCTGCGCGCCGATAATCACGGGCGTCGATCAATAATGACCGGTGATCGAGATCCAGCGAGCAAGTCCAAGGCCTTTGCCATCATCCTCGGCAGTGATCATCGAGCGATCAGACGATCAGACCGCAACCATGCTCGCGCTCGCGCGCACGCCAGCAAGTTATGTCATCGCGCGAGCATCGTTTCCATTAAATTAGCGAAACGGGCACGCGAGCCTCTGTAAACATTGTTTCGGGGAGTAATCGTGGCTATCAATGGATTCAAGGATCCATGGGAAACGGGGCTGTGATCGCCGATGATCGGATCGTGCGTACGGCAATGAAGAGAGACAAAACGGTTGGGCGTATTTTCTACGATGTTTAATTGATTCGTTGGTGCTCGTGGATCCCTCGATTGCGAATCTCATTAAAATTAATCGACTCGCAAGAAATTCCTCGCATTCGGAACGGTTCGTTTTGATCGAACGGTAGCTAGAATTGCGATCCGTTACGGTGGTTAAAAAGGATCTGATTAATTTATAGCGCGTACAGATCTGTAAATGCTTGTAAATTATACACATGTATTTGTCGTTTTGATAAAACCTGTGCGTACAAATGCGAGTACGAACACACGTGTGCTCGTGATAAAATGCGCGCAGATTCTGCGTACAATGTAAACCCGTTACATCTGCCGACTACTATTCTAATTCCCTACTCCGTACAATGATGCGGAATTTTTTTTTAAACGTCCCCCAATACTTTATATTCGTACATTGATAACAAATGTATAAAAGCGTACAACATCTAACGAGTATCGTAAAAAATACCCGAGATAGTTTTAACAAAATGAACAGGCTCGATCTTCGGAATCGAGTTGAGACATTACAATCACTGAGTACGATCTTTCTTTCATGTACACATTGTAATTACTGTTGGCACTTAATTCTTATCTGTCGCTTCCAATCAAACCGTAGAATTTTACACGCGACCACTGTGCTGAAAATTTTTGCGATATACAAAATTCACGTCAAAACGCGTTCTCGCCTGATCCGTCTATTAAAATATACAAATAATATCTTTCAAAGACTAGTAGCAAAAACCAATACAAACGATCTCGAACTTTTGTTCATGGTGTGCACAACGCGGCAACCTGTTAAACTTCGGGTAGTATCAAAACCTAACGTCGAGTAAAAAGCGTGTTCTGGTTACAGATTCGCCTGGACTAACAATAAGTTGATTACACGTGTACAATGTATCGTTACATAAATCAGATTATCCTCGAAATGCAGTTTGAAATGCGATGCAGACAGTTTTCCCATCGACACCACACACACACGCGCGCACTTTTTCCAACGATCGTTAAGCGCCGGCACAATTGACAAAGGACAATTAAACGTGACGTGGTCGACGAGTGCGAAAAATCCGAGCCACGAGACAAAATGCGACTCGTGGAAACGATATCAACACTGTTGATACTACGTTTATATATTTAATTTACGATAATTTACCTAAGCTGCATCGTTAATTTCACATGTACAACTCGTACAATCATTAAAACTTAATTAAAACTCTTTAAACGAGAAACTCTATTTTTGTCTATTTTTAACTTAATTAAAAAGAGATAAAAAAAAGTTGGTCGAACAATTTTGTACCAAACGTTTCGAAACCAGAAATACTTCTGGATCGAGGTAGCAATATCAACGATTGTATCAAAAGCTACACCAATACCTTAGAACAGCGTTTCTCAACCTGTAAGTACGGGTACGTACACAAATTTCAAATGAATTTTCATCGTGCATATAAGTTACCGAGATCAATAAAATGTATAAAAGAGACATCACAACATCACAAAAATATTAAAAATATTTGGAACAATTATAAACAACTGATTCCGTTTCAAAAGATGTACGGAATGGATAGCAGTGAAGAATAAATACAGAGCAAAATTAAATCTTGAGCCCCTGGTTTGCGTTTCAAATTTCAAAAGTGGACCCTGACATAAATCTCGAGCCTGGTTTGCGTTTCAAATTTCAAAAGTCGACCCTGACATAAACGTGCGAATTTCCCAAATTCAAATTCCACCGTCTCATTTAATTTTATATTCTGATTTTCGTTATACCTCTTATTTCTAATAAATTAATTCGGTTAATTTTAATTCCTTTCGTTCGTCCACATTTTTCAGCCGTTTAAAGTTGGCTGTCACCAACTTCCGGCAATTATTTTATATGCATATCAAATATGCAAGTATCTACAAAATGGTTGAGTGAAGGTTGAGAACCACTGCCATAGACATTTTGTTTAAAATTCTACCCTCTCGCGAAATAATTTGTCCAAATCTTAATCGAGCTTCGAGGAGCAAACTTTCATAGGCTGTACGCCGAGCAGTTTCGCCAACTCTTCAGCATCCTTCAGCTGATTAGGATGATAAGCGATGCCTCCGGACCGATCGACGCGTTCCTTAGCAGCCTTCTCAGGGTCCCCAGCGACCAGAACAGGCTTGTCGCCAGCCTTCGGCATCTCCCTCAACTGTTTCAACAAGGTAGCCAGCCTGTCCTTGGATCCAGACCCGAAAGCTTCCGGATTAATGGCCATGAAGCAATGCCCAAGGTCAGCGATCCTCTCCTTGCCCTTCCATTGTCTGATATTAGGTCCAAAGTGGCTCCCAGAGAGGATTCCACAGAGGATTTCGACCATCAGACCTAAACCGTATCCCTTATAGCCGGACGTATGCTCTTCTCCGCCCAGAGGCATCAGGGTCCCGGTCTTGCAGGCGTCTTCGGCATCGCTGGTCACCTTGCCGTCGCTTCCCAAGGCCCAGCCCAGAGGAATCGGCTCTTTTTTCGTCACTGCCAGCTCCACCTTGCCCAAAGCGACAGCCGTGGTCGCCATGTCCAAGAGAAACTCGTCGCTGTTCGAAGCTGTCATCCCAAGGGACAGAGGATTCGTGCCTAATCCCTTGCCGATGCTGCGTGTAGGGGCCATCAAGGGGCTAGTGTTGGTGCAACTGAAACCGATCAGACCCTGTTCCATCGCCATTCGAGTGTAGTACCCGCAGATACCGTAGTGATTCGAGCTGCGGACTGTCACCATGCCGATCCCGAACTTCTTCGCCTTCTCTATGGCCAGCTCCATGCAGAACTTGCCCACCACGTGGCCCAGCCCGTTGTTCCCGTTTACCAAGGCCACCGCCTGAAAGAACCCTCGTCAAACTTCGTCGCTTCAAAGAAGCGAAGCTCAATAGCTGGAGGACAGCTAGGATTCCTCGGTGTTGTTCCGTAAGGATGACCTCTCTAATCGCCTTTATTTAGAAAGCTAGCAATTTAGGGGATGGGCTTCTCTTTCAACGCAACTCTTAGCTAACAATTCACGGGATTTTCTAGCTAAATAGTAGAATCGTTTGCGAGATGAATTGCTTTCTTCTGTCATCTAGCAACTAAGCAATTTAGAGGATCGCGAGGGGATAATTTGGGAAAGTAGCCTCTCTTCTAACGAGTCTTCTAACAAGCTAACTATGTTTAGATGACCTTCTAACTAACTCGTCCATTTTCGTTGTCCGTCGTCTAGCAAGTTAGATGATCACAAGTCAACCATTTAGGGGACGATCTAAGCAAATATCTCCACCTCGAACGTATCCTCCATAAAGCTAACAATTTAGGGGATGATCTGGCTGACGAATACAATTGTGTTTGAACCGTGATTAGTCTTGTCTGTCAGCCAGCAAGTTAGAAATTCAGAGGACACAGAGCAGAGCGCTCGATATCTGTCGAGAAGTTAAGTGGCCACCGATAAGGATCCGTTTCGAAACCCGCGAATTATCGGCGTTGTTTTTCTGATCGGGCTCGCCGACTCCGGAGAAGAGAAGAGGCTCGGCCGACTGTGTGGTACAGAACTTTAGATAAACGTGACGTTTCCAAAACGGTCCGGTTTTCGCAGGCGGGAAATACGAAGTGTCTGAAGGAACAACACCGAGCAAACCGGTACGAGCCGGATCTCCGGGCGTCTTTTTACTGCTGCAAGAGTGGAAGCTGAGTAGCCGTGACGCGTAACAACATTGATTCTTCAGCGATTCGAAGCGATTAGTCCCGGGAATGACTAATTAAAGACGGATTAGCGGCCGTCGAACAGCTTCCAAGCGGAGACGCGATCGAGCGACTTCGTCTTCGCCGGGTTTTGCTGTCTCCTGGAGGAATCATCGAAACGTTAAAAGCGATGACTAATGAAGTTCGTCGAGATGCGTTCTCTAAGCTCTTCGCAGACTCTTTGTCGTTTTGTTTAGGTATACTCGAGTTCGAAAACACGCCTCCACGCGAGCAGATCGCTGAAGGTCAAAGAACATCCAGCCGCGGCTGCTCAATTAATCGGACGAACAATCAAAACGCGTCACTCTTTCGACCAGCCTGCGTGCCATCGTTCCCTGACGGAAGCAGCTGCGTTCTCGGCTCTAACGTCAGAAGAGCATTCCAAACAAACTGATTCCTGCCGGGACAAATATAGCGACACTATCGAACGATACACAGCGCACAGGGTTCTTGACTCCGCGTTCGCGAACCTTAATTAACGGAGAACCTTGGAGATCTGCGTGGCCTCGAGAGCTGATGACACGAGCGAACAGAGGATGCCAGCGCGAAGAGGCTGCATCGACTTAGTAAACAAAAGAATCCTGGAGCGTCTGTATTCTTTTCGAGCTAGAATACTTTCGATATGAAACTAGATTCTTTCACGATCCTTGACGATTTTCATCTTGGAAGATGATGAAGAAGTTTCAATCTTGCCAACCCAAGGATCATGTCCTTCAGCGATTCTTCCACACAAAAAAGAACTGTAAGACATCGACTTTTTAGAAGCTAATAATTAGTGCACGTTCTTTCGTGGTCCCTGAAGAGTTTCATCACTGAAAATAACGAAGTTGCTTCAATTCTTCCAACCGAAGTATCATGCTCTTTCATATAGTTCCTCTACTTAGGAGAACTGTAAAAAATCGAATTTTTATCATTCAATAATTAATGCACGACCTTTTACGATTCCCGAAGAGCTTCATCGCCGAAGATGTCAAAGAAAATTCAATTTGTCCAACCTAATCATCCTTATCATGGTACCTTAAATTAATCACTATATATATTAATATAATATATATTAATATTTAATAATAATAATATTTAATAATAATAATATTTAATAATAATAATTAATATTATTATAATATATATTAATCATGGTACCTTGAAATATTATCCTTCGAAAACAATAAAAACCGAAGATTCCGTAGAACCTTCGCCAGAAATAAACAAGAAAATAAATTAACGAAATTCCGAAGACCACCAGGAGACAGCAAAGTTGGCGCACAAATGCCCAAAGGACCAATCGCTTCTTCGAGCTCGTCGAAGATCAACCAAGGATCGTCGCGCGAGTATCTCCGCGATCTCTACTACCTGAAAATCCTTGTCGATCTCCGGCTTGGCAGCGGCATCGGTGATCTTGCTCTCCAGATCATGCACGTAGAGCCTGAGCCTGTTCAATCCGTGGCTAAAATGGCCGCAATAATCAGCAGTCATCAGATGATGGCCAACGACCTTGCCATCTTCGCTCGTGGTCCCGGCCTTGCACAAGCAGTCCTGAATGAACCTGACCACGTCCTCTTTCGGGACCACGGGCTGCGTCGATCCTCCCGTAGCCATTCTCTGGATCACGATCGAAACCGTCGGTCTGCTGTCGAACAGTCTCGTGGCGAACCGCGTCGCGATTAAAATACTTCTGCCGACTTTGGACATTGTGTGTCTCGTGTGCCAATTATCGCTCGGATGATGATCTTTAATCAACTATCAGTGAACTTTCTTCTGTATCTGCTTTCGATGATCCGCTGGACCGTTCGCCAAGGTTAGACACGAATGATCTGGCGGGGTCGAGTTGTATCGCGTGTCATCGGCGTCTAAGAAGACGCTGGTTATCGGCGTCTAAGAAGACGCTGTTATCGTCGCAGTTCTTGATAGCTCGACCTTGTCTAACAGACGTTATCGTTTGTTGTCTATGTTCTTCAAGTTTTTCCTTAATTGGTATCTTAATTTTGATATACGATTAATCCTTTTACTGCGATGCAATCTTTATCGAATTACCCATCAAATCCTTCCGCGATGTTTTTCTTCTCTTCGGAGTATCTTATATAAGTTTCTGTACCTTCTTTTAAATCACTGTCCGTTTTCAAGGTATTCTTCGATTTTTTTTCTTTGCCGTATCACGTCTCGGTTCTCCCTTTTCGCCAATTACCAATGCGCCATATTCTCGGTATCTTCTAAAGTCGATGCTTCTCGCTGTCCTCTCGAATGTTCCTTGTGGATCGTGCTCTTCGATCTCGATCACGTCCTATTCCGCACAGAGAGGAGCGCCGATCTGACGATCGTTTCAATCTCCCGCCAAGCAAGAGCTCTAGAAGACCGCCCGTCCGCAAACCGTTGCGTAACTTTCAGCAGAAATTCGCGTCTACAAATGCAAATCTCCCTGGCGATTTGAGAACGTGACTTTAGGCGACTTAACCGTCCCCCGTCGGCGTATAGTTATCGATCGACAATGTTTTCCCGTTGACAAACTCACCAGCCCGATCGAATGATCTATGGATCACCGGCAATGACTCGCGGAGCGTCGAGGCCAGTGAAAAACACGTTTCACTAACAGTGAGGCTTCTGTAATCCACCGGCTAGGACTGGCTGAGAAGATAGTGGCCGCACTGGCTGACGTCAACGGCGGATAATTCGAATATCGGATCAGTTGCTAACTCTTTCGGCTTTGATCGTTCGTCGCCGAACATTTACAGATTGAATTTGGAAATCGAATTTAGGAAATTTTGAAGAATTAAATCGAGAAGCTACATTTAGAGCTCGAATAAGAGACTACGTTGCTTAGGCAGTTTTGTAAGATTTTTCCAAAGAATTTTCCTGAAGAATTTTATCGACGAATTTCCCGCTGCGGTTTTCCGGCTTCCAGAATTATTAAGCGAATCGATCCACGTAATCGAGCTAAGATTTAGAAAACGGGAAATCCATTTTCAAGCTAGTTTTTTTTACGTCACTTAAGTCACATAAAGAATAAGATTGAAATCGAACGAATCAGTATAGAATCGAATGTTATTCAAATAAATTCATTGAATGGAGTTCTATATCATCAAAATTCTGAACTCGGTAATCCATAGGCATTATGTACCATAAAATAGAAAATAGGTCGAATTCTTCAAAATTCAATTGAAAAAGAAACTTGAACAGTATCCAAACCGAATAAGATAATTTCATAAAATTCAGTTCTATTCAAAATTCTGAACTCGATAATCTATTATAGCAGAGCTCGGAATTAATCCAATAACATTTGCGAGGTCTTTGCCGCAGAGTTCACACCAGTCTCCGAAAATCCTCTGTCGCGGACAGGTTAATTTCGAGCCCTAATACCGGACATTAAGAAAGCCTCCGGATAATCGAAATGCCAAAATTATTATGTCGCCCGAGAGATTGCACAATTCCCTTGCATCGCAGATTCGGCGAGGAACGATCGCGAAAAATCGGAGAATCGTGCTCGATGATTATTCCAGCAGTTTTCTCTCGAATTAATTAGCCCCGCTGTTTCTCTCCACGGTTAAGGTATTTAATGATGTTCAGCAGCGCCTTCCACTCGACAGTCCAGGCTGCAGCAAGGGATATGACGTATCTCTATTTTTGCGCTGATAAAACTGCCATGCCGGTATCTCCGGAGCGCAGTTACACACTTTGGAAAATCGCGCGTGTACACAGACGTGCGCGAGCGAGCGTGTAAACACGGCGAGATTACTAGTCGCTAACGCCTATCAACGGTTAATCTATCGAATTCAATATATTCTTCGGTTAACAGATGTTTTTCCAGAGTCACTGTATCCCTAGACACGTTCGATACAACATTCTGAAATCGTTGATTGCAAGATTCGGTAGCGGGACGAGACGGGCGACACAAAGGACAGTTTGTATTTAGCCGCTATCCGTCTCGCTCGTGTAGCTAACACGATACCGGGCTCTTTTTAGAATCTTTCGATTGCTCCGAGCAATCTATAGACCGGCTAGTAGGATATTATTATACCGAAACGAAGAAAAAAAAAAGGTTCAAGCCTGTCGATTAACCTTATCAATTACTACCGATGGCTCGATCGTCGGCGAATTACACGAGGCCGCTTATCGATAGCTCGAAAACGAATTACGAGGATGATCGAAGCACGATGCAGTCGATCGATCATCTATTATTCAATAGATGATCTGTTCGATGAATGGACAGTCGACTCATAGTGCACACATATTTCATAAATAAACTGTTAGTAAAATATAATTATTTATGTGTTAATATTTAATTGCTAAATTTCTATATTAACGTCCATTTTTATATAAATAATATGTTTCTAGTCCTATTAAATTTCTTTTCTTCTCCTGGAAACATTGTTCTTTATCGCGACTAAACAGATATCTTTCTGTAGCATCTATTAATGGATGATTTTGAATAAATAAAATAAGTAATAACCAAATATTTGGTGTGGAATTCATACTCTAAATAATTCATACTCAAATAATATACTTGCAACTGATTACCGATTACTTTTCTACTAGAAATAATATTCGTTGCGGAATTCATGCTCACAATAATTCGACATTAATTATGCTGGCGACTGAGCACTCGTTTACTATAATACATGTAACTTTCTACGTTCTTCTAAAAATATTATGAAACCGCTCCGATTATGTTAATTAAATACTGCTGCATCAATTTACGATTTCAAGACAACAATTTCTGCAAAAGATCTTGAGAAAACTTGCTTTCAAATTACTTACACACTTGGTTGCTAATGAAAGGGTTAGCAACGCGTTTGTACCGACTAGAAATCCGACGACTCGTGTTATATGATCTAGCATCTTCGGTTTAGGGGAACGACGCGGACAGAGAGCGTGCAGAAAATTAAGAACGATAACCGAGCACGGAGAGTGTCGCGACTGAAAGTGTTGGTGCGACGGGAACAGGTGGAAACAAAGTGGATGAGCGAGCCACGGTGGAAGGTGCAAGGCAAACCGGCTAATCCGGCCGCAGAAAAATCGAGGATCGATCCTGCGTTTCCGCGTGCATTCTACACCTAGCGAATCGCTCGCGCGAATTGCTCGAATCGCTTCGGCGACCCGCGAATGTTCGGCGCGTTTGCGCAATTTCCTGCAAAAGCAAACGTTCTAGTAGTCCTCGGAAAGCTTTCGATAAATCTCCGATATCGATATCATTATCATGCCAATTTTCGTCAAGGTCCGTTTAGCCGGTCGGACACATTTCGAGATCCGCATTTCTGCGAAAACAAAACGTTGCTAAAGTTATGGTTACTGCAAACGGGTTCTGCAATTCCCAAAACGACCATCATTCGACTGTTTGCTGTCGGTATTCTTATTATTTAAATTTCTTTGCCGATCCATTTGTCACTCTAAACACCGCGAGGTCTGCAGCTTTGCGACAAAACTTTGCTAAGTTCTGTTTTCTGCAAAGGGGACTTCGTAATTTACGGACAGCCAGCAGCGAGCCACGCTGTCATTAATATCGTTGTTATTTGAACTTTTCATAGGTCGATTCGTGGAGCAGAGTTTCGAAAGGATCAAAGGAAACACAGATGCATTTCCTGCAATGGTACTTTCCATTTCACGACGAGCGATCGTACGATAAATTTGTGCCGTTGATACAGTTACCGCGTGAACTTTTTTCGGATCTTTTGGACGGATCGGAAGCCACCGAGATCGTATGGATCGCGCTTGAACACGAGCCACAGGTGTAGAATGACGGAGGCCGTCAGCTCTTCGACTCAGTTTCCTGGAAAATGAGCCATCGGGGCCGAAATCGGTGAGCATTCCGAGTGCTTTCAGCTGACGTTGAATTATCGGCGTCGTTCGGTCGAACTTTTATGGGAAAGCATTATCTTGTTATCTCATGTTTCATCTCAGAAATTTTCGAACTCGGAAAACTGCGCTTCGCTCGACGAATAAGTATCGCGAAGAGTTTCACTCAAACGAATCAATTTTCTCGAGGGATTAACTCGATCGACAGCTTTGTCACAATAACCAGTTAACCCTGGGGTGGGACGACTTGACTTGTCATTCACACCTGACCTCATTTTTCCTCCATTCTTTTTTTCATGAAAGTGACAACTTACTTTTCTAATGTCTGCAGTGACGTGCAGCCGATTGCGTCACCGGAAATTGCTATGCTCATGCTGTGAAATAATAGTTGTTGCGAGTGTTGCTATCTGGAATTCGTGAACCTGTCAGTTTCGAAAAGGAAGTCGATGAATCAGGCGAACGAAAGAACTAGGTAAACGAAAAGATTAAATCGCTAAATTGATATGACATTTAATTTGTTATTATACATTTAAATTCTAATCGATTTTTGATAGAAACTTGGATTGTAGTTGATTTTAAATTGGTGGAAAATTCATTACAATAAATCTCTAATACGAAATTTAATTGTAACGGATTTTCACACACACACACACATATTGCAAATTAAAACGATGATCGATTTTTAATAGAATAATAATCGATAAATGAGGTCGCGCTAGAACGTCCCGTCGATAGACAGATCAAGTGATTATAAAATGTTCTATAAAATCGAATTTCGAATGTTTTCGAGCCTGTTATCCAGATAATTGGAAAATTATCGGGGAAAACGTTCAGGAAGCTCGAGCGATTAGGTTAATCGCGAAGTCGATACTCGTCTGCTCGTTATTACAGTCTGTCAATATTTGTGTTCCACTTCTACACGCGAAGTCTTTACATACAAGGTGTACCATTTTTAGAAGATAGACACATCGAAGACAATTTTAAGCAGATTCGAAATTACAGCGGATAGGAAAAAACGGTATTGGCACACCTTTTTAAACTTGACTAAATGACTAAACGACTAAATGACCTGAATTATCTGTAGATATTAGAGGGACTGGTTTACTGAACAATTGTTTAAATACTTTCTTTTAATTTTTCTATTACTTGCAGTGACAAAAAATAAAAATAAAAACACTCACGTCTCCTCAACTTTTTTTATCCGATGTTATAACGAAAGTTAACAAAACATGCGTCTCGTAAGATCTGTTAACCGACCTCGAGCCTATAAACGAGATAGGATAATTCGATTTCTTGGAATGAGTTTGAAAGTGATTTTCTTGGTAGCTCCGAAATCGGCCTAGATCTCGGCGATCGTCCGAAAAATTGTCTGAACGAGCTCGAAGCGACGATAGGAAACGGCGATCTTCCATCGGAACCGTTATCGTCGTTCCTCACACTCCCAAGGCCGCGTGTTTCTACATACAAACACACAACCGTCAAACTAATCGCGCGCCGATAATTAGACTTGTACATTTCGTGAGCAAGTTCGCTGCTCCGTTCGATCCTACGAAAATCACTCGGTTCTAGCACGCCAAAAACATCGTTCCACATCACAGAGAACATACCTGCGATCACATTTCCCCTCTGGATAACGGACTAATTAATTTATTCGCACGAGCCACGATGATTTTCCTGTACAACGTTCAAGCGAATGATTTTCAGATGTCCTCCGGAATTTTTCAAACGAAATGTTATTGTGTAACAACGAGGTAAACAAGCATAATGAAATTCTTATCTAAATTTAGAATCTGGTTAATTTTCTGTTACCACGAAGTATCCTTCGTGTTCATCATTAGTTTATTTATCCTCGAAAGAATTAGACCTTTTCCTCGAATGGTTAAATTACTTAACCATGTTCTTAGCCAATCGAAACGATTAATCTTCCGACAGATAGTATTGAACGAAATCGGCCTCGATTTCCTCGGCCATTAAATTTCATGCATCCTCGCGGAGAATAAATAAAGCCTCTAACGTAAATCAGCTGTAATAATTTTCTTATGCAATATTATATGAAATCATCTGCCGAGCGGAGTCACATCACAGCCACATCACATAATGCTTAATCGTGGTCTTATCCTAATCGGCGATGTAATTAATCTATTCTTGCGCAATCAGTTTCCATTTTCGTGGTCAATGTTGCGTAAAATGGACCCGATCGACGTCTCGAAAGACAATTTCAAAAGAGCAATCGTCCCATCGGGCCGAGTTCATACGTAACAAAGCTCTTATCTCGATCTAATTATTTCTCTCCTATGCGCCTCGAGTGGCGTTCAACTGCAATAAAAATAATGATACTAATATCCACCGATAAGGAGTGTAAGAAATAAGCGAGCGAACAAAGAACGTGACGGGATT